TGTGGCTGCTGCGGATGTGTTCCCTGACTGGACACCATCCCACTGAGTCCCTCGGACTTGCAGGACCTCGCTGCTTTTTGTAGTCGTTGAATGATTCTGAGCTGGTAAACGCCTCTAACTGCCTGTGCGCCGCCTGAAGTCCGTGCCTGGGTGCCGAGAGGACAAAGCAGGATCCAGAAAGGATCCAGAAAGACGACTTTGCTTCGGGCTCTTTGTGCAGCTGACAGAGCAGCCGTGCTCTCCGACAGGCGGATCACAGAACTTCCGAAATTGCTGTTGGAGGTAGACCAGAAAATATTTGGCAAGTCCGGGAGCATGATTCAGGGTCAGAATGTGCGTGTGAGTAAGTGCACACGCGCGTCCATCTCCCTCTTGCCTCTCCACCGACTGCTGTCCCCAGATGAGATCGGTGTCATGTTATTTAACTGCTTAATTACTCTGGCTTAGTTATCCAGGCACTGTTGGGTTAGTAGCAGTTCATATGGAAGAGAAATTAAAAATCCTGTCTTAAATAACGGGGTACAAAGTGGAATTTAGCACGAAGAGCCTGCAGGGAGGTGCAGGAAGCATCAGCAGAGCTTTGCGGCTGCGGCAGAGCTCAGGGGCTTCGCAGGGCTTTCCCAGCCTCGCCAGAGCGCGGGACGTGGCTTTCCGTACCCGATAGTCCTGTCTCCGTCACTGAGCAGCTCTGCGTTTGCACCCGAGCTGTCAGAGTCCTCTGCAGTCGGGAAGGCGAATCCTTGCCCTGGTTTCTCTTTCCTGCTTTAACAACGTTCTTCATTCCGGCTTCTGCCACGTGAGCTTCAGTCTGGCGTTGCCTTTGCTGAGTGTGCGGAGGGCTGAGGAAGAGGAGGAAGCGGTGAGCACCCCGGTCCCTTGGGGTCCTCCGCCTTGCCTGCCCGGCCGTGCTCCGCTCCTGAGCGGGACTGGACTTGGGGCTCACCCCCAGCTCGTCCTCCTGGTACTCCCCCCTCACCCCCGAATGCTTTGGGGCGATAACCATCCTTCTGCACCAAGCTTGACGGGGTTTTACCAGTGTTCTTGCTTTTAAAAGAAACAGCTTTTTCTAGAGGGATGCTGAGAAACCATCCGAGATGGGAGGAGCTCCGCAGGGGCCTGCCCTGGGCAGCCTCCCCGCTCACAGCTCATCGCCCGGGGCTCAGGGCAGCTTTGCCCTGCCTGTAGCTCTGCTGCCTGCTCAGCTGCCCTGCCTGCTCCCAGCCCGGAGCCACGGTGCTGCCGGACCTTCCTGCACCCGACAAGGTGGGATCCAGCATCATCTGCCGTCTGGCCATGAGGCAGAGTGCGGCCCAGGACATCGGGCTCCATGGACGGGGACTCGGTCAGTAAATCCTGGTTCTGCTCTGCATCCCCTTCACCTCTGCCCGTGGCTGCCTGGCCACTCCTGTGCCTGGCCCTTCCCTTGGGGACACCGGAACATCTCGGATAAAACCAGGTACGTGCTGCAGCGGCCCCAGGAGCAGGAGCTGTGGGAACTGCTTAATTGGGAATTTCAAGGGGAAAAAATACATCCTTTTCCCCCAGGGTGGTGTGAAAAAAAAACCCAAGAAAAATGATGTAAAACCCCCTCAAACACGATTACAGAATGAGTTGTCACTGGTTTTCTGAACGCTGCTCCCCAAACTGCCCGGTGCTGCACTTCAGTTCATCCTGTGCCTATTGGTGCTGCGCCTGGGGCTCATCTCGGAGCTGCCGGTGCTTAAA